AAAAACATAATGTAATTATTTATTCCTACAAATTTTACTTGTTGTTTAGGAAAAATGAAATTTATTTATTTATATGCCGTATGAATTGATTTATATATTATTTTATTAAGAAATAGTTCAAGACACAATTAATAACTGAGATAAAGTGTTGGTCACCCCAAATATTATTATCATTATAGCTTACTATTAGCTGAATCATTCATTATTTGTTAATAAATTGCTCACAGAACGATCTAAACACGCGCTTTGGTAGAAAAAACAATCATTATTGTATATGTTTGAATTTAGGTCTGAGTTTGGTTCGTTCGTAACTCTGTTTAAATTCATCATAAAAACCCATAAAACCAGCTGTAAATATATTAAATTTAACACAAACCAAAAAATCGATAAAGTAGTAATTGGTAGAATAGAGCCCAGAAAAACATTTAAATCAAACAAACTAAGTAATTAGTATTAGTGAAAAAATACTAAAGGCTCGGATTTTCGGTTAGTAAATCGGCAATTGAAATTTGCTTCGCTAGCACTAGGGGAAAAAAGACAGAAGTAATTCGGCAATATATGAAGATGAAGATATAATCTGCAAAAAATATCTGCAACTACAATTTTATTGGTGTTGGCGAGTTGGAAGTTATTTAGAAATCGATTTGGCAATTGCTGATGTTTTTTTGCGGATAATATATAACTACACGGTAATAGTAATGGTAATGGTTGTAAAGATGTGACCATTTTGATTGAGTATTATCAGCAGGATAAACAAAAATTATAAAACCTTGGTAATTATATTATTTGCTCCTTGATTTACATCTCTCGATATTATTTACAATACTTCCCATAAACCCTTCTTCACTAAAGTTATCAACTTATAACTCGCGATCAGATAGATAATTCGTCGTCACCATCGTCGTCATCGTTATCTAAAGAATTAATAATCAGTTGCTTTTCTTCAGCATTTATAGCATTTGCAAATTCATCAAAAGCAAATGAATTATCAATATTACTAAAAACTATGTTAATGCCTTTTTTATGGCACTATTTCCGATTAACCTTTGGACAATACTTCATTGACACACACTACTAGTTAACTAACAACGTTAGTCCTAGCCTTGCTTACTTGCTCACTAAAGCAAACAAGCGTGGCTTTTTACCAAAGCTCCACAATTGTTAACTACACTTGTTGCTTTTATCAAAGCGCTTTAAACAAAGAAAATAAAGACAATGTTTTATTTCTATTTTTATTTTTAAAAGTTTATTGACAATTAATTTTAATTAATATATAAAAATAATGATTCTATCACAGAGTTTGTTTTTCTATTATTTTCCTTTGCGCTTTGCGTGGACCAGAAGTTATCCTTGATGAAATTTTCGTTGTTGTTCACTACAATAAGGATGAAGATAAAGATGGGTTTATTATTACAAAGTAACTTAATCAATCAATATTGATATTATAAAACTTTCATAATGATTTACACAGTAGCTC